CTTCAGCATTTGCCTTTGACAGTTTATCTCAGGGGATAGATAATCTCATTTATGTCTGTTACTACAAATCAAAACACCAGCAAATTAAATGGATCTGAAGGCTAAGATTAAAGACTTGGAATTAAAACACCTGTGAAGTGCCTGTAATGCAAATAGTTGTAAATATAATTTTTTCTGGGGGATGGAAAAGCCCTACACAGATGCTGTTCCCTTTACCTTGAAAGCAAAGGCAGAAATATCACATCGGTGCAGATGGATTATATATACGGGCATTACATGACGCTCGTTTCTTTTCTATGGTTAGAAAAGGAGAGAAAAGGAAAGGAGCTTCAACATCACCCTTTACCAATGCTGGGAGACGTCTTTATGGCCATCGGATGATGACTGAGCTTTCGGCTGACTCAAAACTGGTACAACACAGGAATTCGGCAGGACTGGCTGGAGGAAGCCGAGGGCACTGCCCGTGCCCAGGCTCCGGTCGCAGGGATGTGCCCTGGCTCCACGGACGCTGCTTCGCCAGCTTCTTCTCCATCAGCCACCTGAAGTGTAACACAGGAGGTTATCAAAGCCTGCCTGTGTTTTTGCATTCCCTGCGCTTGGATCGAAAAGCCTGTGTGGCCTTGCAGCAGATGGTGCAGCAAATATTGTAGAACTCCCACACGAGTTTTGCAGGATCAGGCATCGAACAAGCAGATGGGAAGTGGATTGATGGGAAATTCATTTTAGATATTTCATTTTAGATGTTCCCCGTTCCTAGAATATGAGCTTCAAAGCCCACTGTATGTATTACTTCTTTCATAATTTCATGATGTTAATGTTAGCCTCCTGGCTGTATTGCCAGCACCCTGGGGTACAGCAGGGGCTTGTGGTGGGGCAGGACCCTTCTTCAGGTGCTGCTTCTGACTGGGCACCGTTACCTGAGTATCAGCTTCCCTCTAGAGCAAAGTATTAAATGTTCTAGCAAAGCACAGCCAGCAGATAGCAGCATTGTTATATATAATATACCCTAGGCTATTTCTGCTGTGGTTTCAGAGTTATGCAGAAACCTTGGTGCATTTGAGTCTGAGGCCATGACCCCCTCCACTTCTGTGCAGCGGGGCGGTGGGTACCCGCTCGGCTGGGCTGCAGCCTGTGCTGCAGAGATAAACACTTAAAGAGAAGTAGTATTTCTGTAGCCTCTGAGCTAAATTGCATTGAACAAAGTTTTACAGGGGGTGAAAATTTCACAGCGCGATGAGGCATGCAAGCCATCTACCCTTAAACTGAAATTTTAGCACAATGCCCGAGTAAATCTGTCCCGGCAGATCTGGAGCGTGGAGAGCACCAGGAGAGCTCATCTTTTTCTGGGGGCCTCCAAGGCACAGCGCAGGGCAAAACGCTGGCGTCTTCGAAGGGCCACGAGCAGGAATTGGGCGTCTTGCTGCTTGTGCAAGACTGATCCTGCTGCTCGGGCATCGGGGCAGCTCTTCCCAGTGCTAAATCAATGAAAAAGAAATTAGCAATCAGCAAACAGAGAAAGGAGCTACTTTTCTCTGACCTGGGACGTGCTGTTCTGCTGTGAAGGGCCTGTGATACTGAAGGGCAGGAGTTTTCTCAGCTGGGAGGGTTGTGCTGTTTTTATTATGAAAGGGATGGAAGATCCACTGAGGGACATAGTTAATAAGACTTAATTAAAACTCGTTTGCTCTGATAAATTTGATTGGTTTCAGCAGAGCAAGCCACCTTAAACTCACAGTAGCATTTTATGGCAATTCAGATAGGAAGGTATTTCTTCATTTCTGAAAAAGTCTTTGATTTCAACCTGCAGAAGGATTTGGGGGCTGCCTGGGTGGGTGTCAGAGCTCCTGCTTCTGTTTCAGGCTGGGACATGGACACGTCATTTAATGGCTGGGTCACATTTATATTTGTATTTAACACCTTGTATTTCTGTTTGCCACCATTCTTGCCCAGAGGATGCTTTCATGCTGATTATTTTCATCAGGGCATTTCACACCAGTATAAGGATCCCCACCAGCTAACAGGCTGTATATGCCCTGTATACGAGCAGGACATGAGATCATGAACCAGGCAACAGCCCTTGCATCAACCTTGATCCATGTTTATGGGAAAGCAGGTCGCTGTTGGAAGCTGAGATGGATTTAGCCCCCCAAAAGCCCCCAAAAGTGGCCCCAAAGCAGCTGTGAGCCCGCCGGCAGTGTGGGATGGTGAGAGGAGGAGGTTGCCCGGCAGACGGTGGGACCAGCAAGGAAGGAATGCAAGGGGTTTGATAAGGAAGGAATAATAATAACCACCTTTTCGGCAGGGCCAGAGCTGAGCCTGCCTGTGTTTACACACAGGCAAAAAACTTCCTGAGCTGGAAGCGCAGCCTTTTCCGCTGGCTCAGCACCGTCCCTGCTCAGCCACCGCCGCTCTCGGCATTTCCCTCAATCTGGATGTTTTAGAGAAAGCTTTTGTTTTGCCAAAGCAATTGACTGTAACTTTATTGTCTCTGCTTGGCTGTAGGACATACCCTGAGCTGTGAAAAATGCACCTGACGTTTGATTAGATCTCCTACTTTCAATACAGCGAGTAGTGCTGATTAGATAAACAATTGCCAAAAAACAAAAAAGCCAAGCCCAGCTCCCTATCCTACCCCGCAGTGCAAGTCAAGTCTCCGGGAAAGCTTCCCCTGCGCTCTGCGCAGAAAGTAAACTCGTTTTCCTGCAGCTGTTCCCCTTGCAGCCAGGCTGGGCAGGTCAGAGCACCCCGAACTACAACAGTCCTGGCAGCGGTGGTTTCTGGCCATATTCAGTCCCCCCCCAAGAAGTACCCGGTGTGCCTGTGTCCGTGAGCCCATGCCTAGGAAACAAGCACTGGGAAGGGTCGGGCATCCCAGAGAGGAGGGGCCCGGGTCAGTAAAGATACCCAGCCCCAAACCTCCTGCTTTCAGTGGAGCTCGAGCATCTCCACAAGAACGGGAGCTAAAAGACTGCCGTGCATCGCCCTGCAAATTCTCCGAGGCAGGAACCATTGCTGGTTATTGCACAGTGCAGAGTGAGGAAGCCTTCATCTTCATCTTCATACGTGCGCACGCCCCCCCCCCCCAATATCAGGTCAGACCCCAGCCTTGCAGATCACCCCATGAGACTGGAGTCTCATTTATTTATCCAGGAATTAGTTGGGCATCTTAAACATCAGCAAATCAAACAAACGAGGTTTAATGAAGTGATGTACGTCACTTGTCCTGCAAATGTGTTTGTTGAAAGACAGGGAAAATGTGCACAGAACAAGCCACAGCCTTTAGTCATAGCATTTCTGCTGGGAAACAACCTCTCCGCGAGGCGTTGTCCTCTCATTGCGCTGGCACACGGCGCAGCCAGAGCCACGCATCCCGGTGGGATAAACACACTGTTGTTCCAAGGACACAACAGAGAAGCTGATTTTTAATACTCAATTTTTTTCAACTGGGATTATTTACAATGAGATTTGGGAGAAGCAAGTCACGCCAAAACAAACAAACCCCGAAACTTTTAAAACTGTGTTTAAATGACTCTTGCACCCATGCAAACAGCCCCAGAAAAGGATGGACATTGCTGTCATTCCTTTAAGCACTGTACCAAAAAAAAAAAAGCCTTCCCCTCAGGTGTTCGGCACTGAGAAAAGGTCGCGATAAATTCACTATCGAGAGGGTAGATCAGCTTCAAGGGCCATTTTTGTCCTTATTTTGGATGTGGCAGTCGCTGCTGGTGCCAGCAGGGATTCTGGTCTGAACTGCAGCCTCTCGTGGTCTTGCACCATCAACACTGGGCTTGCACGACAGCGCCTTCGGCTCCCTACAAATGAGCTGCACTTGCTCGGGACCGAGCTCAGACCTGCCCCTGGTCCCTGGCTCTCACCGAGCTGCACGTAGCTCAGCCTCGGTGGTGCGGCTTGCAGCACCGCTTGCCCGGGGAGCAGGATCAGTGCAGAGCTAGGTAGGACCTGCTCCCGCTGTTGGGGTTTTGGTGGTGGTCTTCACTTACCAAAGCGAAAAGACTTCTTTTTGTTCGTGTACCCACTGGTGACGCAGAGGGAGGAACACCCATCGTGGGGCCGGGTTTCTGTCTAGCACTCATCCCACAGGGAGCCCTTTGGCACCTTTTACTCCCAAAGTCCTACCCCAGGCACTACCCCCGTGTCGGGAGGGAGGGCGATGGGACTGCCAGCCCCAGGCCTGCGCAGAGCCCTCCGCAGCCCTATCCAACGTTCTCCATCTCAGTCGAGTGGTTGATTGCTGGCTCTGCCTCGTCAAACGCCGTCTCCAGTCCCTGACATGAAGAGACCGGGGAAGATTTTACTCTAAAACAACTGCCTGTCTACTGGTAGGATTAAAAAAGAAAGAAGTTTGAGGTCTATTCACATTTAAACCTTAAATTCCACATGGAAAGTTTTACACAGAGCTTCAGCAAATGCTGCTGGAGTAGGAAATACTAAAGAAGACATAAAGCACAAGAAGGGGGATTAAATGCCTGACGTTCTTACAAGAGGAAGAAATCCTGCACTTAAACATAAAGATGGGATAAAAACCAACTCTGTTAACCAAAATTATCTGAAACCTGAGAGGTTTTTGTCACTGAAATCCCAATTTAACTATTTTAATCAGCCTAACACACGGCCACCAAAAATTTTGGCTGTTTGCAGCCTGGCTCAAGGCTTCTGTAGCTTCAGTCTGCCTCTGCTTAAAAGCTGCTCAGGGCTAAGGGCACTTGCGTTTCTCATTATGTTCTTCTAACAACAAAAGCAGAGAACAGCTGTGAAAAAGTGTCTTGTGTGGTCAATGGGAGAAGCAGGAGGAGGCAGAGAAGCAGGTCTTTGGCAGCTCTGGCGCTTAATGTGCTTTAGGCTGATTTTGAAGTTCTTCACAGAAATAATAATAGTAAAAAAAAAGGTCTGCAATTCCCTAACTGTCCATAGAAAACTCTTGCCCTCCCTTTTCTCTCTGCTCCCCTCTTAGTTCGCGCTAAGGACGCACTTCGCCCGGTTCACATTTCGGTGTCGGCGGGGCTGTGCTGCCTGGCTGAGTGGCCGTTTTTGGAGGACGCTTGGCCAGTCCCGTTCTCCTGAGTCCCACCGTTGAGGTTTGGCTTCTCCTGCAGCTCCGGTTGCTCTTGGGGGGGCATCATCAACATCGTGTTTCCCTGGCTACCGTTTTCCGTGTAATATGGGTCTTCAGCCTAAACAGGTACATAAATAACAGAGGCAGAGTTAGGGGAGGGAAAGGGCTGACAGCAACCGGCTTTGATTGCAGGCAGTGGCTTGGCTGGCTGCCTGCGCTTCCTGGACAGGAGGTACAAACAACTGCAGGCATGGGAACCTGCTCTCGCTGACAAGCAGGGGAACAGAGGGCCTGAACCATGCCATGGCAAGACGAAGCAAGAAAACCAGCCAGGAACTGCATTTTTTTCTCCTGGACCTGAAAAGAGAAGCCGTCAGGTTTTGTTGTTTTCTCATAACCAGGTTTTGGAGCTGACCCTGCCTTGGGTTTGCAAAGCTACCCTGTGACAGACCACTTCTGCTTTCCACTTCAGCCAAGTAAGAAGCACCATTGAATGAAAGCTATGGAACTTGCCTCTTCTTCTTTCCCCGTCCTTCTTTCTTTCAGCCTGTAAATAATTATACAGCTCGCAGCAAGGTGCTAGCAGAAGTGCAGGACTGCACTCCAGCAAATGCAAAGACATGCTGCGTGGCTTGTTACCACTATTGCTGCAAGGAGCAGATGCCTCTGGAGGATCCAGAGCAATAGGAGAGCTGCCTCCGTCCCCCAGCACGAGAACTCCCCACGTGTCGGACCGTGGCAGGTCTGATAGCAATGCAGTGGGCGCTGGTGGTCCTGGGCTGCGGGTGGCGATTGCCGACTGGTAGCAGATAGCCCCGCTCCTTGTTTGCTCAGCAGCACCCAGCACGCACGGCAGGCTGCCGTGCTTCCCGCCCGCCCCGTTGTTTCGCTCGGCCCCTTTGCTGACACCCTTGTCCGTGGCAGCAAGATGGGTGTGCTGGACACATCTCACCTGGAAACTGGATTGACACTGCAACGCATTTACATGGGCAGCTCCCAGCCACACATTTACATTGCCCTTCACTTGCTGCCCGCATCCAGGAGACGGTACCTGGAGGCAGCGGGCTCGAGAGCTGCGATGCCCCTGCCTCTAACACATGCACTTGACTTCCCATCCGCATGTTTTGGGAGCATCCTTTCTGGCAATGAAATAGCCTAACGGCTTCCCAGGACACGGCTGTTCACATGCCCACGAGCAGCGTGGCCCGTCCTCACTTTACAGAGGGCTCACGTCCCCAAAAGTCATTGGCAGGGAAGAGTCCTCAGTGGTCAGCCTGCCTGGAAAGGGGAAAATGGAAATAGGAAATTTCTTTCTCTTTCTTTCTTGATATAGTTTATTACCATCACTTGTTAAGTGAGGGGAGAAATAGCCTTTATTACAGCATCGGTACAAGACAGACATATAACTCAAATGCAGCAAATAGAAAGTTAAAGTGTGTCATTTTTAATGACAAATTCGTAAGGTTTTGGTGTCTCTGGAGGGGTCTTGCTGGCTGAGTTCTTACTGCTGAGCAAAAATAAGTGTTAGACCTAGAAGTACGAGCGAGAAAGGGGTGGTTTTCCCACAGGAGCAATCAGCTAAGAGTTAATTTTAGACAGCAAGAGAGCTTTCCCTTCACCCCATACGGTCTGGCCTCCCTGCTCCTGCCCTTCGCCTTGCCCAGGCTGACCCCACGTGCCGGCCGAGCCGTCCCATCGACCTGGGGACACACACACAGGCTGGGGGTACCGAGCCGCAGGGTGCGGAGCAGCCCCCTCCTCTCCCACCCAGGCACCCCCCCCGCTCCGGCACTGCCTGCGCCGCCGGGCTCCTGCTGTTCTGCCACCTGTAAGCACTAACCAGCCTCTCTCCCGCGGGGCTCCAGCTCCGCCGCTTCATCAGGAAATATCCCGCCAAGCCCAGGAACGCCAACATGAGTCCAGATGTGACCAAGGCGATCAGGGTCTTCTGAGAAAAGTCCTGGTGGTTCCTCACACTCCCCCGTTTGAGGGATTTTATTCCAAACTGGAAAAAACACCAAAGAGAGCCGGGAGTCTGACAAACAGGAAACATGTGCATCTGCTGAACAGGCACCAGGCTTAAAACAATGCTGCTCTTCACCTCCTTGTTAAACTTCACGTAAACAAAGCTGGGCTTTGCTACCCAAGCTCCTGAGCTTTGCACTGGCCCCGGGAGCTCTCACATCCTCATGGTCTCATTTCCATCCTAGTGTCTTCTGTGGCAGAGGGAAATTTTCTCCCTTGGACAAGAGTGCTCAGGCCCTGAGGTTCAGAGCGCACATCTGCCCGGCTGCAACCTCTCTGGGCGCTGCTGTTGCAGCTCTGTTGGCTGCCATTTATATGGGCACCTGGAGCTCAGCTTTACAAGCCGATGGCAGCCTCACTGGAGTCCTGAGAGGAGGAATTAATTAATGTCAGCGTGGTACTTTGAAGAAGCAGAGTGCCAATTACGTCCTAAGAGTTATTGTTGGAATCTAGGCCTTTTTTAAGAAAATACTACCAAATTTTACAGTAACTATTTCAAGCATTTCTGCCTTCAGTGGTGGTATTAGTGCTCTTACGGTGCACCGCTGCCTCGCCGCACATCTGGTGGTGGCTCCAACCATCTCCTGTGCCAATGCTCAGCAAATGCCTCTGAGACGGAGGCAGGTTCAGGTCTCAGCCGTCTGCCCCAGCCCCAACTAACTGTCTAAAAATCTCCTTTCTCCAGCCACTCAGGCCATCCATTTTTTCCAGCTGAATTTGCTCAAGGAATTTACCTTTTCCCAGTGAGACTCCTGGAGCACATCCGTAGCAGGATCTGCAAGGTTTAAAAACAGGAGAGGCACATTACATAGAGGGTCATGCTGCAGCTAATGTCAGCATTGAAGAGCCTGGCCATTGCTGAACACGGAGGAGCCGTGAGCCCCTTCGCTGCTCTGGAGGCAATGCCATGGCTCTGTGGCTCTAGCAAGACCCCAGAAGGAAGAGCAGTAGTTGCAGAGAGAAGTCTCCTCCGGGCTGTAACTGAGGATTTGTGTTCCACAGCCTCTCCCCACGAACAGTCCCCTCTCCCATTGCCCACATCGAGGTCATTATCCAGCGGTATCAATGACAACCAAAGGAATTAGCTCAACTGACCTCTCTCACCGACGAGGATGAGCAGCATACAGTCACGGTCCACCTCAGACTTAGCGAGTTGGATCTGGCAGGGGGAGGGAACGCGGTGGGTGCTCTCTTCACATATTGCACTCCATAAGTCCGATCCCTTCATCTCTAAAAAATGTTTCTGCAAAATTTTCAAACAAACAGCCATTGAACCAACCACACCGACTAATTCTTCATCGCAGCTATGCCGATGCTACTGCTGGTAGTGTTGTGCATTCACCCTTTGTGTTCTGGTGGCCTGTGCTGGGCGACGCTGAGCAGACAACAAGTGACAAAGAGTGCTGGGCTGGGCGTCAGACCTTCACCTCCCATTTCACCGCTGCTTTGAGCCCCAGTACCAACACCTAGAAAGTGGAGATGCTTATTTCTTGTTTCTTAACTTAATGAGACTAAATTAAATGAAGATATTATTAGCAACTCTTGCAAATGGCATTTAAACAAAGCTAATTTAGGATCTGAATTGCATGGCAAGTCCCTTCAATTTTTGGACTGAAACAGCCGCCTGAAGAGCCCTATTGTTTCAGAGTCCCAGGCAGGGGCTGGGAAAGGAGGGAAATAACAAAGAAGCATTGAGCCTTCCTGTTTAGGAAATGTCTTCAATGTTTTTGCGAGGTTGCTGATCAAAGGCTAGGCAAAAAAATACAAATTTCTCACATTTTAGAGCTGACCTGACTCTTGGGTGGAAGAGGAAGAGGAGTGAGGAGCTGCAGCCTTTCCCTTCTGCAGGCCAATTTCTGTATCAGACAGGATAGGCTTTCTCCTTGGGTCTATTTTCAGCCACAGGCAGGCTTGGAGACAGAGCCCACAGTTGCTAAAAGACGTTATCAGCTTCCCTAACATCCTCCCAGCTGGGGAGATCATCTGAGCTGTGGCCGTGCCCACCCCCTCGAGTCAGAGATGGGCTCCAGCTGAATCCCCGTCCTGCCCCTATCCTCCACTCGCTCCCCAGGAGGTGCCCACCAACGTGGGGCTGCAAAAGGGGAGAAAACCCTCTTGTCCTGCAGCGTTGTGCAGGGCTGGGCAGCTCAGTGCCGTCCTCTCTTTGCCTTAAGATTGCCTCAGTATTGTGCTCGGATCACCACATCCTCTTAGCATACAAAAATGCAGAAACTTATCCATGGGAGAATAACAAACAAATCACTTTCAGCTGTTTCTATAGAGCTTGGCTTGGGGTGAGAAAGGCCAAGATGGAACAAGAGACCCAAGTGTGTATTTTCCTTTCTCTGCTGTGGAAAGAACTCATCGGAGTGTCAGAATTTCCCTTTGCAATTAGCAGCACTGGGTGCCAGCTTATTGCTCATTTGCTTTGGGAAAGGCCAGGAGGAAAGCGAGACACGGCACGGTCCCTCCTATCTGCTGTCCTCGCAGACACTCTTATCTGGTTCTGCTGAGCCTGAGCTGGTTTTTCCCACTCGATGATTAGTTGAGGTGGAGGCATGGCAGAGGTCTGCTGTGGGGTGAGAGCTCCCAGAAAAACACAGTTGGAAGCGGGGTAGTGTGACTCGTTTCACACGGAGGGAGGGTTAAGAGTGCGTGCAACTAGATACAACTCTCTAGGATATTCTGTATGTTATATATGCATCCATTTCTGTATGTGCAGGTATGTAATGCATGCATAATGTGTATAAACCCTGTGCCCGGGAGGTGCCGTTGCCCACTAGATGGCATCTGTGACCAGAATCCCTCGCTCCCGGAGGAGTTCCCATCTGAATTCCTGCTAAAGGGCAGCCCCTGTAAACAGGAGCAAGTCTAAATGCCATTTAATCGCCAATTTGCAGAGAAAAGCCAAGTAAGAATTCACTCATCCTAAGTGGTGGCAGTATGGCTGATGAGCAGAAGTAAACTTAATCATTGCCATTTTACACCCAGGTCATTGCAAAACCTGCTGTCCCACAAGATCCAGCCCCATCTGCCCCCCGTTGCAGGTTGTACCTCCTGCGTGAAGGGTTTCTTTCCTCCCACCCACAATAGTGTCTCAGCCGGACCCTCTTCTGTTTTTATAAGTGCTTCAGTTTTGGTGCACAAGGCCAAGGGCAGTTACAGAGAGCCTGGGATTCCCTTAGGAGTCGGTGCAGATGGGGACACTGATCTGCTACCCGTTTTTCCTCACATACCCTGTTCTCTTTCCTAGGGCAGTTGGCAAGACAAAAAAAGGCGATCGCCTTCCCAACAGGGAAGAGGAAGAAGAAGAACAAAGGCAATTTCCCGTTAAACATGGTGGCATGTTTAGAAGCTAAACTGACCCCAGAGCTTAATCATGAAAAAGGAGGTTTTATGCAACCAAGAGGTGGCATTTCCCCTGGGACCGCTGGGATCGTCCCTTTGGGATCCTCCTGGGACTGCTGTGATCATCCCCACCTCTGTCAGTTTGGCACATGCTGTGCCCCAGGGATAACGGAGTGAGCTCCCACCCCAAACCGACCCCCCAGGTACGGTGGGTGACCCCATCGCTGCAAGCCTGAGAGCGCTGCAGGAACCTGCCCTCGGCTGTTTGCTTGCAGCCCCCCTCCTCCTGCACGTCCCCCCCCTCGGAGACACGTGGCCACCCAGGGCTGCAACTCACGCAAGTGTTGGACTCGTTGAGCTGCAAGCAGATGGCTCCAGTGTCACTCACTTCTTTGACATTGTGGCACGTGATGGGCTGGAAGGGAAAAACCACGGTGGTGGTAAACTGTCGGGGGGGTGTGAGACAAGTCCAGCCTCCTTGCGGTCCCACAGCCCGCGCTC